TGTTAAGGAACTGGTTTCAAGAACCTTTGAAAAGAATGAGCATAATTAATAAATTATATATTTAAAGGAACATCCCCCCATTCATGGCTGTTATATATTTCAATAAATAAATTTATAAAGTAAACTAAGCTGTTATGGAATTAATTCTAAGGACCTTTGGAAAGACTAAGAATAAGTCAGAAAGTACATATATATATATATATTACATTTGTATATAAATATAATATGGATTTTCCTTAGAATTAATTCTGTATATATATATTTATTTTGTTATTTGTCTTTTACTATGTGTAAGAACCACATTCTGTTCAACGGACAATAAACATAAATACTCTCAAGTTTCACATATAAGACAAAGCTGCAAATAGATTTGAGTTTTGCATATTTATAATTCACAAACTTAGTCATTTCAAGGTACCAATATCAGATGCTCAAAGAAATCTTATCTTTTACAATATATTTTATGGAATCTAAAGGATGGGGTCCAAGCCTATGGATAACAACTTCATTGGTGAAAACTTATGATAAAGTAAACACACACTTCCTTCATTCTAAAAACAGTGTTTCTAAAAGTGCACAAAATTCACCAAAACACTTTCTGGTAACTAACAGTATTTATTATTATTATTATTATTATTATTGGAGGGGGTGGGTTTCCCCATGCACCATGACTAATAGTCTACTGTACGCCCCCCTTTGATATTCTACCAGTCGCCATACCCTACCAGTACTGGTGCGTGCTATCAGCCCCGTTCAGCCAACGAGGTCGGCCCTCGGTACCTGATACTTCCCCCATCTACCAGAGGCATTGGAAACTACGTGGGCCGGAAACTTTTTGCCTAATTTTGCTCAGATGTCTCCTAGAGACATGAGGATCTTTCACATGCCGTAAATCTATTACACGGGACCCACGGCTTAAAGTCCCTCCCGGAGGACTTGTTCCCTGAATTTTTCCACCCTTAAAAATTCCACAACCTCCGCCGGGTTTCAACCCGTGTATCTTGAGTCATGAGGTGGGAACGTTACCCCTAGACTACAGAGGCCGCTTAACTAACAGTAAGTTCATTAACTGTACACACACAACAAGTATAAAATGAATGGGTTTAGTGATTATGTATAACTTATTCCATTGAGTACTTACAAGTTAAATTTTTAATATCGGTAAATGTACTTAAATTACTAAGAAACTGCCGTAAGAGAAAACTAAAATATGTCTCCAAACCAGTACATTTTATGCACTTCTTGCTGGAACTTTATGGAAGGCATGATTTTTCCCTCCTTAAATTTTTCTGCATTTCATACATTGCTCTTCCACTAAGCTGCTTCGTAGTCCAATTTCTTTCAGCTTTTCTCTCTATGTGACTTAACATTTCTTATAATTTATTAATTTCTGGTTAATCTATAAACATGAGTGAGTTTAAGAAGATCTTGAGCATTTTAGAATAAAATTAATAGGGAAAATTGAAAACTGAGAATTCCAAACAAACAACAGTGGTAACTAAATCATATGAATAATATATAAAATGCAGGTAATATGGAGTAACATCCTGCTTGGAAATAAGATAGGGAATAACATATATAATATTGTGACATGTCAAACCGTTGATGAACAACGGGATATGGAATGAGGTTATGCAACAGTAAGGAAAGCAGTGTTTGTCTGTGCTGTGCCGAAGCGCCCTGGTTGCTACGCAGCATTGCAGTAAATATCTCTCGGCAGTGTTGCCCAGCAATGCCTCTGTAAGCCTGGTGATTACACAACTGTGAATTGAGGGGTGTTTTCCGCTGTCCGACTGAGGGTTTATAAGAGAGACTGGAATGCCTAAGGAGTGAGTTGAAATGTAGCAGCTGTTGAAGACAGTGTCAGTATTCAGAGTATTCGGCGAGTATTTGGAGGGAGTGTGAGACAGCCGCGGGAAGAAGAATGGAACGCGTGTTATACTGAAGCGAGCATGAAGAGATTAGTGTGTAGGGTTTGTAAAGTGTGTGAACCCACAACAGTGTTATAATCAATTGTAGTTATGACTTGTAGGTTGTTAATAAAACCAATTAACAACCCATACGGCGTCTTCAGTAGCCAAAGGCTATTCATCACGAATAGCCTAACAGTGCATCACCGGTCCTTTCCTTCTGAGGCTATACTTGCAACGTTTTCTTTATGTCTGGCTTGGTGTTTCTTTTCTTCTCGTTGTCCATTCTTCAACTGCTACATCCGCTTCCTCCTTAAAACCAGCTTGTCTCGAGCGGTTTCCTGCTAACGTGTCAGGAGATCCAGGTGTATCACAATCATCTCTGTGCTAATGTTGCTCCTCTTTTTCGTTTTGGAGGGGGTAGACCCCTCCACATGGTCCAACCTTTGTTTCTCATGTTTGTCGGGATGCTGTGCAGGACATCTGCTGCCCGCCCATTCAGGGCTATAATTAAGTGCGTCAATCTTCCCTGATGCAACGGCTGGTTGCACTCCGCTGTGGTCCTGAATTAGCGCCTGAACACACTCCAGGCTGTACTTCCCTTGACTGTTGGTGGCTGAGCTGCGCTCGCACAGCCGCTGGTCTACTTTCCTGCTTGGAAGTGGTCTTTTTCCTCTTCTGGGATCCACAAAGTCTTGAGTCAGTTTCTTTCTGAAGACATCTCTCCTGCATCGTGCCACTGCTGCTCGACAGGGCATCTTCCCATCAGTTTCCTTTTTCTTCTGCAGTGCCACTCTCGCACGGTGGGTCACCATGCTGGTGGCGGTCGATTTCTTTCGGCACCCATCCTTGCCCTGCGTCCATTCCTTTGGCATTCCTCGCCACTCTGTAGCTAACTTTCGGTCCCTTCACTGTTTCTTCTTCGGTACGATAACCAGCATCACTGTGGCGTATTCTATGGAGACCTCTTCTTTCTGTGCTGTCGCCTCAGGTTTCTTGCTTTGGGGCCCCATCTCCTTGTGGCTGGTGTCCATCTTTTCACGCCAGGCGTCCATTCTTGCCAGGATATCTTCTTTGTTAGCCTTCCTATTGGCCTCTGTCTTTTCCTGGTCCGCCTTCCTATCGGCCATCATTTGTTCTTGGCCAGCTAACAGACGTTCCATCATCTTTTGTATGTCCATTTTCGTAGGACAATGCTGTAAATATACGCTTCAGTCTTCAGTCCAATAACCGCTTCAGTCAAAGAACTCCGACCAAATTGTGGCGTGTTTAAGTTCGAAGTAGTTAGTTGAGGGGCTATGCTACAAGCTGGAAGGTCGCAGGTTCAAGTCCCAATGAGGTCACTGGAATTTTTTTTCAACTGACCTAATCCTTCCAGCCGCACTAAGGCCCTGGGGTTGACTCAGCCTCTAACAGAAATGAGTACCAGGAATTAATTAAATAATTTTCCTGGGCAATAATGCACAGCCAGCACGTAGGGCTGACAACCTTATCGTCATCTTTGAGCCGATTCTGTAGATAATGTGGGACCCTCAGTGTCTCACAACCCTATGGGCCTTCATGGCCTGTTACAGGGATAGCTTTACTTTTTTTTACTTTTACCAGTTCTAACACCAGTGTAACGTGTTTGGCTACTGAAGACGTCGTTTGGATTGTTAATTGGTTGCATTAGCAACCTACAAGTCGTAACTACAATTGATTATAACACTGCTGCGGGTTTACACACTACAAACCCTACACACTAATCTCTTCATGCTCTCTTCAGTATAACACGCGTTCCATTCTTCTTCTTCCCGCGGCTGTCTCACACTCACGCCAAATACTCACCGAATACTCTGAATACTAACTGACACTGTCTTTGATGGCTGCTACATTTGAACTCACTCATTAGGCGTTCCAGTCTCTCTTATAAACCCTCAGTTGGACAGCGGATAACACACCTCACTTCACTGTTGCATAATCGCCATGTTTACAGAGGCATTGTTGGGTAATGCTGCGTAGCAACCAGTGCACTTCAGCAAGGCATGGACAAACACCGCTTTCCTTATGGTTGCGTAACCTTGTTCCATATCCCGTTGCCCATACTGTCACAACTTACGGGCATGACTATAAACAGGGCATGGATTGGTGAATGAATTTACTGACCACCTGCGAACACCACTCGAAACAACTCTTCATAGATCACTGACACAAAAAGACTAGTGTCCTCAGTCTATTATACAGCAATGGCCGCTGTTTTTTGAATTGAATTGAATTTATTTACATTCTATAAATCCTAAGCAGGTTAGTACCTTTGGATACAGAACAAGTCAAAAGGTTACATACATAAGTACAGGCAATTTTAGCTTAAAAATTAATATAACTTAATTTTACATCATTCTCTATTTACATTGAAGTATTCATCTAAAGAGTAGAAGGAATGAGCATGTAGATAATTCTTTAACTCTGATTTAAACTTTTTAGTATCATTGCCCAAGTTTTTAATACTTTGTGGCAGATTGTTGAACACTTTTATGCCAGTAAAGTAGACTCCTTTTTGATATACTGATAAAGTTGATGAGGGTAGGTGGAAGTTGTATTTTTGTCTAGTATTCATGTTATAGACATCAGAATTTAATTTGAATTTATCTTTGTTGTAAACAACAAATAAGAGAAGCGATAATATGTATTGCGACTGAAGAGGTAGAATTTT